TTTTGTTTATTTGAAATAATTACAGAGCTTCTTCCGGGTCTCCCATGAGGGTACAGGGATACAGGGGCCCAAGGACTTGGGCCATCTTCCACTGCTTTCCCAGGCCACGGCAGGGAGCTAGATAAGAAGCAGAGCAGCTGGGACTTGAACTGGTGCCTCTATGGGATGCCAGCACTGCAGGCAGCAGCTTTTACCCAGTACGCCACAGCGCCAAACTGTATTTCTAAAAGTCTTTTAAAAAGTTTATAGCTAAGAGAGAAAAAGTACCTTAACAAACAGGTAAAAGATTCCTTTGGGAAGATAAACTTCCAGTTATACTTGAAGCTGTACTTTTAGCAGTATTCTGATAATTCTGTAAAGACAGGAAGGTTTGTCTATGGCAGATGACTTTTTAGCTTCATGTGCTTTATATTTTCTAGAACTGATTGCTCAAACCGTTATCTGGAAAAGAGGCTTTCTTTTCGGAAAAATTACAGGAGCATGTTTATTTACATTTTAGTGTGACACATTCCAAAATACTCTACCTCACTTACTGTATCTCACAAAGTAGTTACTTGAATACATTATAGTCCGTACTCCAATGCTGCTGCTGCTTTGTTGTCTTCCTTTTTTTAAAGATTTATTTCATTTATTTGAAAGACAGAATTATATATGTATAGAGGGAGACACGGAGGGAGAGAGAGACACTTCTAAATGGTCGCAATGTCCTGAGCTGGGTGATCCGAAGCTAGGAGCCAGGAGCTTCTTCTCCCACCTGGGTGCAGGGGCCCAAGTACATGTGCCACCTTCTACTGCATTTCAGGCTCATTAACAGGGAGCGCATCAGAAGCGGAACAGCTGGGATTTGAACCAGCGCGCATATGGGATGCCTGCACTGTAGGCGGCAGCTTAACCTGCTATGCCATAACTCTGTCTCCTCCAATGCTTCTTTTAGGTTATTCTTTTATATCCTAATTCTAAATATCCTGTTAGTTGTTTAATAATTTTTTGGTTGGTCTATCCATGTTTTTAACTTTACACTTTAGCGTTTTTAATCCTTATTAAAGAAACATTAGGTGGTAGTCATCTTCAACTACATTTTCTCCTTATATCTGAATTCTGTAGGTTAGCAGTTCTCAAACTGTCATTTCCTCAGAATATGAATATGATGTATTATATCATGTCTTAAAAAATAACCTTTGGGCCTACACCTGCTATTTTTTATTGTCCCATTTCTCTGCCTACTGTATAGGAAAACTACCCAAAGGTAGTTTTTGATTCTTTCATCTTTGTGTTAAGCCATTCCAATGAAGTTTTCTCTCTACCGCTTCTTGTGGAAACATTCGTTTAAGTCACAGTGACTTCCATATTGTCTAATCAAAGGGTCAGTTCCCAGTTCATGTAACCATTTCACACAGCTGAGTCATTCCCTCCCTTGAAACAAGTTTACTTGGCTTCCAGGCATCAGTCTTCCTTCCTAATTTCCTCTTTTTTCATTTGTTACTCTGTGTTGGTCTTATTGATCCTTCCTGTTCATTCCCTTGACCTCCAAATGGTAGCTTTTCCAGTGTTCAGTTGTTTAGTACTCAGCTTTTTTTTTTTTTTTTATTTGACAGAGTTACAGATAGTGAGACAGAAAGATCTTCCTTCCGTTGGTTCATCCCCCAAATGGATGCCACGGCTGGTGCTGCGCCGATCCGAAGCCAGGAGCCAGGTGCTTCTTCCTGGTCTCCCATGAGGATGCAGGCGCCCAAGCACTTGTGCCATCCTCCACTGCACTCCTGGGCCATAGCAGAGAGCTGGACTGGAAGAGGAGCAGCTAGGACTAGAACCCTGCGCCCATATGGGATGCTGGCACTGCAGGCAGAAGATTAACCAAGTGAGCCACGGTGCTGGCCCCCTCAGCTTTATTTTCTACCTGTACTTTAGAGTCTCATTTGGTCTCATGATTCAAAATTTCTGTGTGGATGTTGCTCGATTTAATTATCTTCAACTTGGGCTTTTTTCCCTTGAACTTTAGACTTGCATATCAATTTTTGGTCTTTTTTTTTCATATTTATTTGGAAGGCAGAGTTAGAGACCTGAGTTGGTAATGGAGCAGCTGGGACTCAAATCGGTGCCCATGTGGGATGCTGGCATTACAGGCAGCAGCTTAAACTGCTGTGCCACAACACCAACCCCTTGATCTGTGTGTGTTTGTTTTTTTTTTTTTTTTTTTTTAATAGAATTTACTATAATCTATGGCAGGGTCCTAGTCTCTAGAATAGTCTCTGGTCTTTTTTTTTTTTTTAAATTAATTAATTAATTTGTAAGGCAGAGTTACAGAGAGGCAGAGGCAGAGAGAAAGACAGAGGTCTTCCACCCACTGGTTTACTTCCCAGATACCTGCAATGGTTGGGGCTGCGCTGATCCGAAGTCAGGAGCCAGGAGCTTCTTCCTGGTCTCCTACGTGGGCGCAGGGGCCCAAGGACTTGGGCTATCTTGTACTGCCTTCCCAGGCCCTAGCAGAGAGCTGGATCAGAAGTGGAGCAGCTGGGACTCGAACCAGCACCCATATGGGATGCTGGCACTGGAGGCAGCGGCTTTACCTGCTACGCCACAGCGCCAGCCCCGTTCCTGGTGTTTAATAGGCACTGAGTGACTGAGTCCATAATGGCATTCCAGAAAACATTCTTGACTGAGATGTTTATCCTAAGAATTTTAGTAACAAGCGCCCACCATAGTAAGAAACTCTAGGTTAATGTATTTACATATTAAAAAGATGAATTCACTTGACACAAATTGGGTATCTACAAAATGATTTGAATAGTTTCATATAGGAGAGAAGGCTAATGAACTCAAATCTGTTGCATCTTTTACTTGGAAATTTTGTGTACTCCCTTGCTATTTGGTATTTAGAGGAAGTGAACAAAACATTTGTTGTGCCATCACTAGACATTATTTTTGGGGGTGTTTGGAGGAAGTTGGTGAAGGTGCAAACTGTTTCTTCACATCAGACTTTGTATAATTAGAAGATCCTATTTTTCTAATCTAGTGACTAAAATAATTATTCTTTATAATTGATGATAATATTCTGAGCCTGAAAGCCACAGAGAAAAATAAAAAGTGATTTTGTTTTTTAGTAAAGATACTCAAACCCAACTGAACATATAATTTAAACAGATGGCAGAAGAAATAAATGCCTGTGCAGAGTGGAATCACAGATCTTGAAGGATAGCCAGTCACCTGCTACTGCTCACACTATGTTTAAGATGTGTCAGATTAATTGCATTTGTAAAAACACACCATATTCTCTCACATCTCTGTACTTTTGTACATCTCCCTGTCTAGTCTGGGATGACCTTCCCTTTGATTTAGCTTTATCTTCTCCAGGATGCTTCCCTGATCTCCTTGGTCTGAATTCCAGCAGTTTTGTTTCTTTTCTTCTTCTTTCTTTTTTTTTTTTTTTTTTTTTTTTGACAGGCAGAGTGGACAGTGAGAGAGAGACAGAGAGAAAGGTCTTCCTTTGCCGTTGGTTCACCCTCCAATGGCCGCCGCTGCAGCCGGCGCACCGCGCTGATCCGATGGCAGGAGCCAGGAGCCAGGTGCTTTTCCTGGTCTCCCATGGGGTGCAGGGCCCAAGCACCTGGGCCATCCTCCACTGCACTCCCTGGCCATAGCAGAGAGCTGGCCTGGAAGAGGGGCAACCGGGACAGAATCCGGCGCCCCGACCGGGACTAGAACCCGGTGTGCCGGCGCCGCAAGGTGGAGGATTAGCCTATTGAGCCACGGCGCCGGCTCATTCTTCTTCTTTCTTAAAGATTATTTATTTATTTGAAAAGCAGAGCAAAAGAAAGAGGTAAAGATGGAGAAAAAGAGAGAGAGAGAAAGAGAAAGATCAAAATCTTCCATCCCATGTTTATTCCTCAAATGGCTCCAAGAGCCAGGTCTGGGCCAGGAGCCACGACCTCCATCCAGGTCTCCCAGTGGGTGGCGGAGGCCCTAGTACTTGGGCCATCTTAAGCTGCCTTCCCAGGTACATTGGCAGGAAGCTGGATCAGAAGCAGAGTAACCAGGACTTGAACTAGCATTCTATTACAGAAGGCCAGCATCACAGGCAGTGGATTAAAATGTTGTACCACAAAACCTGTCCCGGAAGTTCTGTTTCTGTCTGAAAGACCTTGTACATACTTTATTACATAAATTATCAAATATTAATTTTCTAATGCCATTCCTCCCAAATGTTAATTCAAATAAACTAGTTTTTTTATTTCTGTGTCCTTATTTATATAGTGTCTGACATTAGTCGGTATTGATTAAAATTTTGTTGAATAGGGGCTGGCATTCTGGTGTAGCAGATGAATCCACTGCCCACAGGCCTGAGTCCCATATGGGTGCCAGTTTGAGTCCCAGCTGCTCCACTTCCAATTCAAGTCCCTGATACTGTACAGAGGAAGCAGCAGAAGATGGCCCAAGTGCTTGGGTCCCTACAACCACGTGGGAGACCCAGATGAAGCTCCTGGCTCTTGCCTTGGCCTGGTCCAGCCCCAGACATTGGTGCCACTTGGGAAGTGAACCAGAGGATGGAAGATCTCTGTCTCTCCCTCTCTCTCTAATTCTGCTTTTCAAATAAAAAAAAGAATAAATAAAATAAAAATGTGCTAAATAGGAGCCAGTTTAAACACTGAACCAAAAAGCGCCTCTGTGAGCTTTTTAAAGTACTCTCTTCTGGGGCTGGTGCCGTGGCTCATCTGGTTAATCCTCTACCTGTGGCGCCGGCATCCCGTATGGGTGCCGGGTTCTAGTCCCGGTTGCTCCTCTTCCAGTCCAGCTCTCTGCTGTGGCCCGGGAAAGCAGTGAAGTGCTTGGGTGCCTGCACCTGTGTGGGAGACCTGGAAGAAGCACCTGGCTCATGGCTTCGGATAGGCATAGCTCTGGCTGTAGTGGCCATTTGGAGGGTGAACCAACGGAAAGAAGACTTTTCTCTCTGTCTCTCTCCCTCACTGTCTAACTCTGTTAAAAAAAAAAAAAAAAAACTCTCTTCCACTAAGTAGACTGAGATCCTGAAAGCTCTTCAAGTTTTTGGGAGTACATGTCCTAGATAGAGGTAGGATGTACTAAGACAGTTTCTACTTTTTATTCTATTTTTAGAGAGGAGGGGGTGGGGGATATGAGAAAGATCTTCTGTTCTTTGTTTCATTCTCCAGATGCCCACAATAGCCAGGTCTGGGCCAGGCTGAATCAGGAGCCTAGAACTCCATCCTGGTCTCCCACTTGGGTGGTAGGGTCCCAAGTATTTGAACTGTCACCTGCTGCTGCCCTGGGTATGCATAAGCAGAAACCTGGTGCTGGAAGTGGAGTGGGGAGACAAACCCAGACCCTCAGATATGGGATGCAAGCATCTTAAATGGCACAACACACCTACTCTTATTTATTTTTTAGAGGTAAAAGGTTTTTTGTAATTTTAATTTATCTATTTGAGAGGCTATTTAGAGAGAGACAGAGAGAGAAAATGAGAGAGAACTTTCCCACTCACTGGTTCATTCCTCAAATGCCCATACCAGAATTCAGTGCAGGTCTTCTCTGGGGAAGGCAAGAACTCAATTACTGGAGCTTTGCACAAGCAGGAATCTGGAATCGGGAGCAGAACTCAAGACACTGCCTGTGGGCATGGGCTCTCCAACAAGTGTTTTAACATACCTCTCTTCTATTGTGGACAGACTTTTACTTAACAAGTCAGTGTTGTTCAATTATCAATTGAAATGCTTTATTTCTTAAAAGCATTTTAAAAATTGATTCAAATAGTTTTATATTCTAAATTCAGTATTTTAGTCTTGGATTTAAAACTCATTTTTCCTTCTCATATTTTCTCTTAAATAGGCAAAGAATATATTTTCACAGAGTGTGTTGAAAATTAGGAAAATCAAGGGTTCTGGTTTTGTCAGGTGCAGTATTTAGACTGTTGTTTTGATAAAATCCAGTTGCTCTGATATGGCTTGAAAATACTTGTTCCTTTGGAGTATAATTGCAGGGCAGAAACTGCGGCATAGGCAGAAATTCACCATAATGACTTGAATTGGTTTTATACAGAATCATCTGGGGTTTCGATAGTGACGTAGCCGTACGGAGTGTCTTTGGGTCCAACATACATGAAAACACCGGATTGCCAGGGTTCACACAAGGGGGTGGTGGTTCAAGTTTCATTTCTGTGTCTGAATTGGAAGCTGAAGTACGGTTCTTATCCTGAAAGATAAACACACAATAATTATAAAGTTCTTACAAAAATTAGAATTACATGTAGCCCTATCCTTCCTGCTTTTCAGAAACCCTGTTTCTCTTGAGGGCACTGCAGGCTGCCTGAAAGTGACACAGGCCTGTACAGAGCAAACCTGTTAAAAGTATGTGTAGGATAGCCATTTCATATCATGTATCAGAAATAGGAGAATTTATCAAAACATCACATAGGAAAGGGACAATCTGTACTAAGTCCTAGTTGGAAGAAGTACAGCTCAGTTTTAAAGTGAGAAGGGAAAAAGATAAATATTCAAGAGATTTTAGCCTTATGGGAGCAACCATTAAGCAAATAATTACATAATTAACAATAACTACAATTGTCATAGGTGCTATGAGGAAAAATAAATATGGGATATCTATGAAGACATATGGAGGGTTCTGCGTTAGTGTCAAGGGCTAGGGTAGACCGTGAAGTTTCATTGAACCTAAGCAAGGTAAGCAAGGAAAGAAAAGATGGAGGTGTGAACAAAGGGCCAGTAAGAATAGCTGAAGTCAAGTGAGGCTGGGTGAGATGAGACTGCAGATAGGGCCAGATCTCCCAGGGTTTCATTAACAGTGCTGCGACTCTGAATCCTTATTGCAAAGGCAATGGAAAGCTGTTGAAGGGTTTTAGGGACTGGCATGCCATGATGTAACATCATTTTCAGGAAAATGACTTTGGTTGCTGTTAGATACGTGCGTGGATGTGGAGAGAGGCTGCAGTCGTCTGTGTGACTGATGAGTTATAGTAGGGTCTAGAGATGGGGTAAGTAAAAAATCTGAAACATTTCAGAATTAGAATTCACGGCCGGCGCCGCGGCTCACTAGGCTAATCCTCCACCTAGCGGCGCCGGCACCCGGGTTCTAGTCCCGGTCGGGGCGCCGGATTCTGTCCCAGTTGCCCCTCTTCCAGGCCAGCTCTCTGCTGTGGCCCGGGAAGGCAGTGGAGGATGGCCCAAGTGCTTGGGCCCTGCACCCCATGGGAGACCAGGAGAAGCACCTGGCTCCTGCCATCGGATCAGCGCGATGTGCCAGCTGCAGCACGCCGGCTGCAGTGGCCATTGGAGGGTGAACCAACGGCAAAAGGAAGACCTTTCTCTCTGTCTCTCTCTCTCATTATCCACTCTGCCTGTCAAAAAGAAAAAAAAAAAAATTAATATAATCTGGGGATTGATTAAATGTGGGTCATGAGGAAGAGGGACAGATCTATGATGGATCACAGGTTCCTGGACAAAAGGGCTGGTAAGGTCATCATTTACTGTAGTTCAACATGTTTTTAAAGTTATATTAATAAGGATGCTTTATATTTATTTATTTATTTGAAAGGCAGAGTTACAGAGCGTGTGTATATATATATATGATGAAAAAATTTATATATGATGAAAAAATGTGAGTGGGACAGACAGTCCAGTCCAGAAGTACACCTTGTTTATCATTCGTTAACGATTCAGCAAACACCTCCTGAGCACTGGGTGCCTACTGTTTGCCTGCCAGTTTCTGAGGTTTACATTTTATTATACAGAACACTGTACCACATGGTGACTATGGTTAATAATAAGGTATTATATCCTTAAAACTTGCTACGAGCTCTTTCCCTCTGAGCAGTGTCAGGGCAGGCTGGTGCAGTCATGGCCAAGATCAAGGCTCAGGAGCTGCATGGCTGAAGCAGCTGGAGGACCTGAGTGTGGAACTGTCCCAGCTGCACGTCGCCAAAGTGACAGGCCACGCGGCCTCCGTGCCTCCACGATCTGAGCTGTCCACCAGTCTACCGCCCGTGTTCTCACTGCCACTCACCAGCCCTAAGAAGAAAACCTCAGGAAGGTCTATAAAGACAGGACGGAGAAGCCCCGGGACCTGCGGCCTGAGGATGTGTGCCGTGTGCTGCTGGTCAGCAAGCACGAGGAGAAGCTGAGGACCACGCAGCAGCAGGAGCAGCTCCACCCTCTGCCAAAGTAGAAGGTCAAGGCCTGAGCCCTGGGGTGCCAGTAAGAACACAAAATGCGCAAACAAACCTGAAAGCTTGCTAGCACAGTAGATTTTAAGTATTCTCACTACAAGTAAGTTACGTGTGAGGCAGTGGATGTTGATCCGCTTGATTTAGCCATTCCTCAGGATATACATGATCCAAAACACGTTATATACCATAAATGTACAATTTTATTTACCAATTTAAATAAATTAAAAAAACAGAAATGGATGGGCAGCTGACTCAATAAGTAATGTAAGGAATTGGTTAGAAAAGTAGGCCTTCACCCTCAAATATCAAAATAAAGTTCAGGTTAATTTAAATACTATGTCATGATAGAAAAATTTTAAGAAGTTCACGGTAGAAAAACTAGAAAGTAGGATGATATTTTTAGCCCCTGAGAAAGGAGAACATGATATATTTATTTTTAAGATTTATTTTAGGCCGGCGCCGCGGCTCACTAGGCTAATCCTCTACCTGTGGCGCTGGCACACCGTGTTCTAGTCCAGGTTGGGGCGCCGGATTCTGTCCCGGTTGCCCCTCTTCCAGGCCAGCTCTCTGCTGTGGCCAGGAGTGCAGTGGAGAATGGCCCAAGTGCTTGGGCCCTGCACCCCATGGGAGACCAGGAGAAGTACCTGGCTCCTGCCATCGGATCAGCGCGGTGCGCTGGCCGCAGCACGCCGGCCGCGGCGGCCATTGGAGGGTGAACCAACGGCAAAGGAAGACCTTTCTCTCTGTCTCTCTCTCTCACTGTCCACTCTTCCTGTAAAAAAAAAAAAAAAAAAAAAATTTTTATTTGAAAGGCAGAGTTACAGAGAGAGAGAGAGAGCGCGAGCGAGCGAGAGCACTTGTTATCTGCTGATTTACTCCCCAAATGGCTGCAAGGTCTGCCCAGGACTGGGCCAGGTCAAAGCCAGGAGCCTGGAACTCTATCTGGTTCTCCCATGTTGGTGACAGGGGCTTAGGCCAGCTTCTGCTGCTTTCCCAGGCGCATTAGCAGGGAGCTGAATCAGAAGTGGAGCAGCTGGGACTTGAACTGGTGTGTCCATATGGGATGCCTGCTTTGCAGGCCATAGCTTAGCCCTCTGTGCCATAACATAGGCCCCGGCATAATACATTTAAAAGTAAAAAAAAAAAAAGAAATTAAACGTAAAAATTATAGTTAAACAAAATTATAAGGTAAACAACTGAGGGGATGTTGGGCTGCAACAATTTAAGCTGCTGCCTGCAACGCTGATCCCGTATCAGAGCACTGGTTCCAGTGCTGGCTGCACCACTTCCAATCCACCTCCTTGCTAGTGTTTCTGGGAAAGCAGTGGCAAATGGCCCAAGCATTGGGGCCCTGCTATACCCACAGGGGAGACCAGGATGGAGTTCCTGGCTCCTGGCTTCAGCCTAGCACAGATCTGGCTATTGTGGGCTTTTAGGGGCTGAACCAGTAGGTGGGAAATGTTTATGTCTCTTATTTATTATTATTATTATTATTTTTTTAAATATTTATTTTATTTGAAAGACAGAGTTACAGAGAGAGGTAGAGACAGAGAGGTCTTCCATCTGATGGCCCACTACCCAGTTGGCTGCAATGGCTGGAGCTGCACGGATCCAAAGCCAGGAGCCAGGAGCTTCTTCTGGGGCTCCCACATGGGTGCAGGGGCCCAAGCACTTGGGCCATCTTCCACTGCTTTCCCAGACCACAGCAGAGAGCTGGATCAGAAGTGGAGCAGCCGGGTCTCGAACTGACGCCCATATGGGATGCCGGCACTGCAGGCTGGGGCTTTACCCGTTACGCTACAGCGCTGGCCCCTATTTTTTATTATTTTACAATTTATTTGAAAGGCAGTGTTAGAGTGAGAGAGAAAGACAGAGAGAGATCGAGAGATCTTCCATCCGCTGGCTCACTCCCCAAATGGCCGCAACAGCTGGGGCTGGGCCAGGCCGAAGCAGAGCCTCCTCCAGTTCTCCCATGTGGGTACAGGGGCCCGAGCACTTGAGCCATCTTCTGCTTTCCCATGCCTGTTAGCAGGGAGCTGGACTGGAAGAGAAGCTGAGACTCCCGCCAGAGCCCATAGGCGCATCTGCATCTAACCCGCTGCACCACATGCAGGACCCTCTCTGTCTTAAATAAAAAAGAAATAATAAAAAAAGAGCTGTGAATTAAGAGATAACCTCAGATCTCTTCTATTAATGCCATTTAGACAATAGAATTTAAAGTTTATAAATGTAAAACAATTTGTAAAAATAAGGCAAAATAAGGTAAAATGTAAGAACATAGACATGATAATCATGAGGCAAAGAAACTTTTCAGAAGCACTTAAATAATTTTGACAGATATTTTGGATTACTTGATGGCTTTTTGAAAATGCAATTCCAAGAACGTTTGCTGCTGTCATTCTGGAAGTGGGAAAAGCTTCTTTGTCTTATTCCAGTAAATTTCCTTACTGGAAATAGTGGCCTTATAATTTACAAAGACTTGAAGTGTTCGGTTATTCTATTGTTTTGGTATTGAGCTGAGAGTTTACAATCTTTTGCCTCAGAAAAATCTGGTAACTGGTCAGTTCTTGGGAATAAATCATGATTTCATGGATAATTATTTTGTTGGAACTTCTGGTTGTCACTATCCCAGCCACCTTTAAGGCCTTCTTCATTCCTCTGACCCTGCTAATTAGCAACAAAATCTACTAGTGTCTCTCTGTCTAGTACTAAAGGAGTTGTTACCTGAAACTTGGTATCTTTTCTCCACCTTATTGTTGCTCTCTGGGGCAGTGCTTCTGGTATGGTAATGTGTATATCAATTACCCATGAATTTTACTACAACACAGACTTCTGACTGTCGGGGATGTGGCCCAAAGTCTACATTTCTAACAAAGCTCCAGGTAACACGCTGCTGGTCCCTTGCTCATATTTTGAGAACTGTGCTACACAGTTGTTAGGAAAGTGGACACAGGGGTCTGTTTGGGGTGTTGCCAAATAATTAACCTCAAGCAGGAGCTGCTCAAGCGAAGCT